GTGAAAGAGGGAGAAGATAAATTCCATGTGAACAACATTGAAAAATGATTATACAATGTAATAAAAAATACTGTGCTAACATAAAAGTACAAATATTGTGAAAACATAGCATTATATATGTCAAAGAAATGATTTATGGTTTTTTCCTGGTTTTATTTCATGCCATTTCCTTTTCATATTAAGATGAGATGTCGAATATTGAGACAAAGTAGTCGGTGACATCACATGACATTTACGATAAAATCAATGAAATGTAGTTCTTGATAATCACAGTTTCCATGGAAACTGTGTGTACTTGTAGCTTTGAATTCTTGTATCATTATTGGTTTGGGATAAACCATTATGTAGATTGTAGGGGGGTGATCAGGGGTTGGGTTTATAGTCTGAAGGAGACAATACATGTACATAATACAGGAAATCTTTAAGACTTGAATCATTTACCGTTTCAGAAATTGATTTCTAATACTGTATTTGCTCTATTAGAAACTTAGCTCCAACAATAGAACACAAATCATGTAAACTAAAAAATATCATTATTATTTCCTCATTAACCTTTTCACCACCAAAAATTCACAAAATAGTCCTGTTTATAGTCTGCGTTTTCTTTTAGACAAAAATAGCAAAATTTTTGAGTAAAAACTGAAAATTGATTAAAATGTTGTTCCTTTACTTCAAAATTAGGGTTCATTTCCAGAAATATTGAAAAATATAAGAAAAAAGTGCAAAAAAATTTGGATGAGAAATTCTTTTCTCTAAAAAGATTAAAATTGCAACCTATACTTACTCTTGGCTTCATGTTACCTTGACAACCGGTATTCACAATTCTCATGAAAAAAAAATCTTCTTTGTAATTGATAATCAATTGTATACCCAGTATATATTGAAAAATGAAAGAAAATTGCATAAACTTTACTATATTTGCTCTATTATAAGCTCACATGAGCCAAAAATCGTTTATTGCCTGTTTAAAATACAACTTATTTGGTCCATAGACACACTCCTGTCTTCCATGTACATTGTGAGCACATGTGCTACTGAATAGAAAAAATTTACCAAGTATATGTAATGTAAAATATTTGTTTTTCACTGGTAAGATGTATCCCAGTATGCAATACAAGAAATGTACAAATAATAACAGGAAATTTGAAATTACCAAAGTTCGAATTCACAGAGGCCATTGTCTGGATGCTTTTCTGATACCATTTGAATGTTTCCTTCGTAATTTCCATATTCGTTAATTCAGGGTTTGCGCTAATGTCTCGGAAAGACGAGTCCCACTTACAAAATTTTAAGAGATTGAAATTTGACCCTGGATAACTTTATTAAAGATTAGATCCCAGCTTGCCTGAAAAACTGGGTCCCTATTCAATAATTGGAGTCCGGGAAGCAAAATATGGGGTTAACGCAATCCCTGCGTTATGATAGGCTCTTTGCCAGTTGATTGCACTGACAATGTTCTCTGTCTTCAAATAAATCATTTCATCACCTTGTTCTGTTATCATTTGCTGATATCTGGAAAAGAGCACAATGACATTCTAATCTTTGCACTGCATGGGACACTGTGCACCCCAAGATAAGACAAGAATGATGCAATCTTTGAAGCTGACACACACACAGACACACCCACAGACTTGGTTGTATTTCTTCCAACAACTGCAGTCCACATGTACAGGTAACAGGACAACATTGCACCCTGTACAGCATCATACAAGTCAATTTTTACAAGTACTGAGACAACACTGAATCTATCAAACCGGAGGTAATGTGACAGCGCTGACTCTATTGAACTTAACTGGAGTGGCTACTTTATCATATCTTGAAAATTTACTTAGTACCATGTAACCCGTCAGTCGGAAACTGAACTCTCTGTAAACGAAAAATCTGAAGTGATCCTTATCAGTTTCTTTTCCTGATTTGCACATTTGATTTCTATTATAAACTCATAACATTTGTCCTCTTGGATTATTTTTTTTTTTCTTTTAATAAATTTTTTGTGCCAGGCGACAGTTCCGGACATTGAGTGTCACTTTTGTCTCTCCTGACTTTTTTTCAGTATGTGCAAATTGCAAGTGCTAGTGACAACACATAGTGCACAGACAATCTCCAACAGGAAGGCGAGTGAGCCTCAACCATTTGTTTTGAATTTAATCATCTTGTATCACCAGCGGCTTATAACAATGTTAATTAATATTTCCGTTGAAAAAAAAACACATTTTCAGATTTTTAAGTTCTCTTTTTAAATTGCTACTCAAATAAAACTTGCATATGTACATGTAGACACCCACTAAATAAAGGTGTGCTGTTGTTGCTGTACTTCCATCGTCTTCTCTACCTTTTCGTCCACATGTCAAACTACCTGTTGATCAATCAATCCATCCATCATGATTGATGCTTATCTAGCCTGAAGGTTAATTTGTCTGTTTATCCGTCTGTCCATAAGTTGTTTCAATGTAATAAATCAACTTGTAGCGTGAAAAGATGGCAATCATTTTGTTGAAACTTGGCATGTTTACAATATATGTTTATCTCTAATTTGGGCATTATATTCACTTCCTGTTTGCTTTATTTTTTTCACTACCAGACTTTCTCGACCAAATTTTTCTGCACTTTTTTCTAATATTCTTAAATATTTCTGGAAACAAACCCTAATTTTGGAGCCAACAGACATTTTTTACTCAAAAATTTTGGCTATTATTGTCTCAATCTTCTGAAGTAGATGCAGACTATAACTGGGACTATTTTGTGAATTTGTGATGAAAATCGAGAACTGGTGGAAAGGACATGCTCTGCCAGTATTATTACTAATTTCGACTTGTTTTTGTAACTTTCCTTCTTTTTTATTAACAGGTACTCTTATTGGTTGCCATAGCTACATATCATAAAACACCATGTTGCATTTTTTACGAGCAACGACTGTTCTTACCAAGAACAAACATATCGTCAATATTGTGAATGCCAAGATAAGGCTACTATCAACGATCAATGCAAGTGAAATATTGAAAAAGGTAAAAGCAACATTTTACAATACTGTAAAATATTTTATTTCAGCTGGAATTAATTTTGGATGGAATTTATTTTCACTGATTTTTGACGAGTTGAATGTAAAATATTGGAAAAAAGATATATTCGCAGGATTTTATTTTCACTGGATTATTCCTTCAGCGAAAATAGTGAAAATTAATTTAAAGTGAAAAGAAAGTATTTTACAGTATTACATTTAATGGGCAGTAGTTGTAGCACAACGCATATGCGAGATACATGTATATGGGTCTCATATAAACAAATATGGCGACTTTGACTGTTGCGCAGACTGAGACGTTATCAAGCTTTCATAGGGTATTTTTTTAGGTGATTGGAAGGTATCAAATAAGTTGCACCCAGGTCAAACCTCATATTTTCATTAGAAGAGTGGATTCATTATGTGAGGGATATTTTTGGTGTATTGAAAAAAATCCTAATAAATCCCAAGCTAATATTACATTAAACTTTATGCATATATGGAGGTTGAGATCGTATGTACAATGTTTATTTTGTTTTTTTTTAACACAAAGGATTTTGGGTTATTTAAAACAGGATGCACCTAATAAGTGATTTTCTTGAAATGTGCTCGAAATACATGTACATGTCACATGTTGTGCTTTGGGATTTAAATTCAAATGATAGGAAGTCTCTGTAATTTATTAAACTAATCAAATTTGATGAGTTTATTGAATCACTCGTGTTGGTGGACCCATCTAGAGGGGAATTAGATCAGTGAATTAAATTACAGCCGAATAGAAAGTCATTTTTATCAATTACCGTTTTTTGTTATCTGAAATCGGTGTATTCTAGTATGTTTCTAGTACAGTTGCACTCGTAAGTGTTCTACAAATGCATTGGATGTTATGATTCAGACTTGCCCCAATATAGACGTTAGATACATCGTACCTGCATATACATGGTACATACCAGTAGTACATGTAGATGCGCAAGGGTGCATGTACATGTGTATGACCTCCATCTATGTTGAAATGAGGAAGATATCTTTAGAATTTTCATTCATTTAAAAATCATGGATCTTGTGTGTACTGTAAAATGACTAATTTTCACTAGGTTTGTGGCTGTGGGAATTCAGTTCGAATAAATCGCCACGTTTATTAGATCTCCACAAAACATACAACAGATTCAAGTGATCGAGAGCAGGAATCATGGGTAACACTTGCATAATTAGCATGTTTGAGGTTGATTCCATTGCTCATAGGGGTAACTCTTAATATACGAACACATGTTGACCTGTGCCCCATCAAGGTTTAAATTTTTGCTGATTTACCATTTCAGGCATATTATTCAGTGGGTTTTTAAATTCACAGTTTTATCATTTAGATATTGTGTTCTATTCTAAATTTTACATATTCACTGGGTTTTAATTTAGCGCATTTTGCAGTCAGCGAAATAAGCAAAATTAAAACCCAGTGAATAATTAATCCTTTTACAGTATATAAATGTATATACCGTACTCGACCGCGTTAGCGCCCAGGGGCCTCAACTCAGAAAATCACGATTTTGTAGGGGTGAGCGCTTACCCGAGCACCCCCCTCGAAAAAGAGTGCAAATGAAAATTTTGATTCATCAAGTGACAGATTACGTCTTTGAGGGGAAAATCAAATTACTAAATTAATTTGCGTCGTCATTGATTTTCACAATGAAGAAACAGAAATGATCACAAAAAATATGCACATTTTATTACAATATTAATTACGTACCACCATAATTTACGGAATTAAAAACATTTGAGTCTGTTGGAACACAGTCAAAGTCAAAATTGTCATATTATTTCCACTGACGAAGTTGTTGGATCGTACGCAAACTCTCGATGAAAATCACTTTCCGCCATGATGCAATTGCAGATTTGACCTACAGCAGCGTCCTTTGACCTAATGGGTCAAATTGGTTATTAACTAATCAGAATGCTGTGTTGTACTGACGCAATTCTTCGGAAATTCCCGAAGACTTTCTGGTAACACAATGCGGAAGTGAATAATCGATGTCGAAGTACGATCTGTTGGAATTGATTTCAGCGAATAAACGACATGGTTTTTCCAAAAAAATAGTAACTAGCCATTTTGGAGAGGTAAACTGAATATGGCATGAAATATTTATCGCATTTTACTTGTATTAACAGGCCATTGTCGAAGCGTAGTTTACGCACGATTATCGTGTTCTACGCATTCACAACATGTTCACAGCGATCGATATCCACGCTGTATCATATAACAACGTGGGCGCTTTGCCGAATGTGACCCCAAATATAAAAATTGCGCAAAAGTGGGGGGTTGGGCGCTTGCCCGGGCATGGGCGCTAATGCGGTCGAGTACGATATATATATATACATACACTGTATACTAGTATATATTTACTACTAAATCCAAAATCTGTCTTAATCCTGTTCAAATAAAGAAATAATTTCACCAAAATGCAAATTTGGTAATTTTTCCCACAGTATTTCTGACTCTTAATTTCTCGATAAATTGGTGAGCCCACTTGTTTGAAGGGAGGTATCCTGACAGCATTACCCCATCTTAATGTAATCATGAAAAGATGATATAATCTGATTCGCCCTGAACCTCCTTAAAGGTTTTAAGTTTTTTGAGTCTTGATTGTCCCTCAAGTATTACTGTAGGCATGTGGCTACTATTCAAGTTTGTTAAGAGAATATCTTGAAGTCATAAATCATTGTCAACATAAATCACCTGCAAGAGCAAACACACTTAACTCTGTACCATTTGTTTTTGACAGCCAACAACAGCATCTCTAGTATTAGAAGATGGAAGAAAGTTTGAGGGCTATTCATTTGGCGCTGAGAAATCCATGCCTGGAGAAGTCGTCTTTAATACTGGACTTGTTGGGTAAGTAACAAAGATACCTTATTTCATTGAACTCTTTGAGTGACAGATATTTTTCACGTCCAAAATTCAGTGCAAATATTTTCACTTTTTGTAAAATTTCACTAAATTTCATCATCATTTTGGGCTATATAGACAGTTTCAGAAATTGCTTTTAATTACATAATTGAGCGATTTTCAGTGACTTGCAATCCGTCAATTGTGGAATTATTGGAGTTTACAGTAATCAGTAATTCATGTCATGTTTGGACGACCTACGACATTTACACAAAATTGCAACTCTCACAGTATGATGACAACCCAATTCTAATACTGACCATTTGTCTTGACAGATATCCTGAAGGATTGACAGATCCTAGCTACTGTGGTCAGATTCTGACCTTGACATATCCAATTGTTGGTAACTATGGTGTCCCGGACACACAAGCAAGAGATGAATGGAAATTGATAAAAAATGTAGAATCCGATAAGATTCAGGTAAATCATCAAATTTTTAGTTGCCATGACAATGCTGTGACTGAATGTTGACACTTGTACATTCATACTTGTTCATGTGACTGTCTTGTGTAATACTTGCTCAACGAGACTAAAATTGTCATACGGGTAGACGTCGATACTAATTAATCACTCTTTACCTGTACCCCAGTAACTCATCAGCATGAGCCTTATAGCAATGACATTTTGCCTATAATCTCAATGAATGGAAAAACTGTGCTTTTTCAGCCAGAATCAAAGATTGTGAAAGCCAAAGCATTATCACATGCATCATTTCAAGATCATATTGAACAACTGCCTCAAAATAGAAAATAGTTTATCTCAGGAAAATTGGAGTATTTTAAAAAACAATCTTTTCAGTTGACCTGATTTTGTTTTCCTGCTGAAAAGCAAACACAATTTGATGTTCAATAATTTCTTTGCATATATACATTATTACTATACAACTCATCACAATATATTCTTGACTCCTGTGTACGAAGCACACAATGGGAGTCTTAGCAGTTAATATTCTGTATGTGTGTGTGTGTCCGTGTCAGTCTGTTCCACTAATATCTCAAGAACCATACATCGGTTTTTGATGAAATTTGGTTCATAGATGCTCTGAACTAATGCCAGGTTGTGATTAGTTTTGGGTGAAAATATTAATTACCTAATTTGCATAATAAATAATTTTCAGCTTTTGATATTTCAAGTAGTAAGCATTACATTTCAATGAAACCTGGTACATAGATACTCAAGCACTATGCAGAAATTTATTGTTTTGGGATAAATATTTGTGCATATTAATAACCTAATTTGCGTAATTAGTTAATTTTCAGATTTTCACATATATCTCAAGTACTAATCATGACATTTCAATGAAACCTGGTACATAGATCCTCTAGAACTATGTAGAGATCTGATTAATTTTGGGATAAATAATTGTGCATAATAATTAACTTATACCTCATTCTCTTGCTAACTTTGCATATTCACTAGATTTAAATTTTTGTGCGATTTTGCAGTCAGTGAAATGAACCAAATAAAACCCAATGAATAATTAAGCCCTATACAGTACATCCTGCATATAACTTGGAACCATCACCTTTACAATATGTACTAAAAACAAGATAGATTCATTGATTATTATTTTTAGATTATTGTCCGATCACCTTTGAGTTACTGACATTACAAGTTCACACATGCAATTATACTTTGCGCACATGGCTTCCATAAATAGTGCTGACTTCTTACAGCACATGCAATACATGTTTGTGCATTTATAATGTGATGTTGACTATCATGCATTTTACAATATAACAATTAACTGAGGCATGGTGCATTATGGGAATGCAGAGCTTCATAACTAAAGTTTCGTTACCTTTTAAGAATATCATTTTGAATCATTTAGTTAAATCACCTACATTGCATGTGCATGTATTCGCTAAAAGATTCTATTTTAAGGTATATCTTCGGTTTCAACAAATTATCTGGTTAATATGTCACAACAAATATTATTTGAAGCAACCCACAATGTCTTAGAAATTGTGGGTCACTGAATTATTTACCAAGGTAATTTCACAAACTTCCCAGATTTCACTACTTTGTATTCTACAAATTTGTATTTCTGTGACTGTGTGTATCAATATATAAGCTTTGGCAGCCATATGGTGACATAGACGTATGGAGTGATATTTGTGGTGCTATTAATGTGTTAATGTAAAATATAATTTCTATCTAAGTGAGTTGGCGATGACCTGAGTGTTTTCTTTTTTTGCTCATTTTGCAGAAGCAAAAACACTCACGGTTGTCAAGAAATATTGTCATATATGCGAGGACAGTCAAATCATAGTTTAAAACTCATCCTCAAATCTGTTTTAATATCTTTTAAACAGAAAAGATCTAAAAATTGTTTTTAATAAACAGAAATTGATGCTTATTTTAAGAATTTATGAAATTATTTGAATCCAAGTGGAATGTATACAGGAGTTAACAAGGGCTGATATAAATCACCATGGCAACCAACTACTGCATCCTGTACGCTGATATCTTTGATGTGCCCATTAGTACATTAATATTTCTCAATTTGTAAAGTAAATGAAGTCTAATAGCTTTTCAATTTGTTTCTACTTTCTACTCCAAGTATTTTGTGAGACGCACATTTTTGTCAGTTGAGAGTAAAGATTATCATGAAATTTTGTTATGCCTCTGGTATTGAACATTTTGATTCGTCTTTATATTAAATGCAAACAGAATTTGTTTTATTCAATGCCCTCATAGTTTTATGATCCCATTTAAGATGGCCAATTTTGTGCTAAAATTTTATAAGAAAAAAACAACAATCATTTCTGCCAACTCTGAACTTGATCTTGGTCATGTATGAAAACATTTCATTCAAACTTGATATGCACATTGGACATTATCGTACCTTGAGACACGACACATTTTGTTTTACAGTTCAGTTTCAAAATGTCCGACACACATGCAATCAATGTTGCTTTCAGGAAGCTAATAGATTATCAGATTTGGTGGCAACATTGTTTGCAACACAGTTGTATTGTCAGCCAATTAGCTGACGATATTGATGGCTTGGTATACAAAACTAACTGCAGCCACAGGGAAGGCAAAATCGTGTAGTGCATTCAAATGTTGTCTGGGACCCACATTGAACTTGACACATGGTTTTTTGAGATTTCAAATAAATGTTCTTTATATTTATTTTCAGGTTTCTGGGTTAATAGTACAAGATTACTCCCATGAGCACAGTCACTGGAACTCCGAGAAATCACTGTCAGAGTGGTTAAAAGAGGAGAATATTCCGGCACTTTATGGAATTGATACCCGAATGTTGACTAAAATTATCCGAGATAAGGTGAGATGCAAAAAGAAAGGAAGAAACGCTTCCTAATAGGAATTAATTCTACACGCTACACTCTACAAAAGAAATTGCCTTACTTTCCTTGGAATATTAGCATTTTTGGAGTCTTAGCTGTATTGAAAATTATAATAATAGGTTATTACGAGGTTACCTCAAAGTATGCATGAAGACAGTACAGCGGAAGTATCAACTGCCGCGCAGCAGAGGTAGATGCGACGCCAGACTGTCTGAGTGCATACTTTGAGGTATCCTCGTAATAACCTTAATATTATACATCTTTTCCTTCCAAGGATACACCATGGGAATGACGAAATCCAAAAAGTTTAGAACAGAATCAGCAAACTTCTTTGTGTAGAGTCTGGTCATACCATGGTGGCAGCCATGTTTGTTTTTATTATTCGAGAACGCTTACGCGCGTAATCATTTCATATTTGAAATTCGCATTTCTTTATATGGTAGGATGAAAAAACCCGTAAAATACTGCAAAATTACAACATGCTGTATCTTATGGCGTTACGGTGACAGATGTATAATAATGAACAATATTTGATCACAAGATTTTTTAGCTGAACTTTTTTACTTTGATGTAAAAATAATAAAGGTCATACAGTGATGTCTTTCGGTGTCATCATTGTTAACAGCTGACACCCTCTGCCCAATTTTGATTTTTGTCATCAACATCCACTTATGTTTTACCTTGCTTGAGTTAATGAAGGAATAAATGTATGTCATCATTTTTAACTTTGTCTCACATCATTTATTACAGGGTACTGTACTGGGTAAAATTGAATTTGATGATAATCCAGTTGCATTTGAAGATCCGAATTTGAGAAATTTAATTGCTGAAGTGTCGACAGAGGTTTGTGAATAATTTTGGTTTATTTTGTTAATTTGTTTGAAACTTGAATCGACTGTTTATCAACGAGAATATCAAGAATTTATGAAATCACGGTACCCAGTTTTTCATATCCATGTTCATTTCATATATACATCAAGTAAGCATATTCTGTGCAATGGTGTCACAATTCCATGGATGGTTGCAAAAGGAGGTGTGTGACCACATCTAGTTAGGATGTAATCCAGACAGAATCATGCGAGGCTTACTCTGAATATACAAAGACACAAAAAGATTAGTCAGGGACAAAAATGATTTGATTTTGAACTTGAACTTCTATTGTATTCATTTTGTACAACAAATGTCTACCACAAAAATCAAATGATTCGGTTTTGAACTTTAATTTCCATTTTATAGTTGATTGTCAAAATGCCGATCTTTCTGGGATGAATTTGAGATACCTTCACTTCATCCAAATTAGCCATCATCAAATGTGTACAGCACATTATTTTAAGTGAGAAAGTACCTAAATAAAGTACTTAAATATTACCTTATAAATCTTTGATAAGGTTATTACGAGGATACCTCAAAATATGCACGAAGACAGTACTGCTAGAGTATCGACCCGCGTGCAGCGAATACTTTGAGGTGTTCTCGTAATAACCTTATTATTATACATCTTTTCCTTCCATGGATACGTCATGGAAATACTGAAATTCAAAATGGTTAGAATAGATTCAGCACACTTCTTTGTGCGGAGTGTGGTCAAACTCTGGTGGCAGCCATGTTTGTTTTTATTATTGGAGGATGCTTACATGTGTAATAATTCCATATTTGAAATTTCATTTCCTAATATGGTAGGATGAAAATACCCCGTAAAATGTCGCAAAATTACAGCACGCTGTAACTTATGGTGTTACGGTGGCAGATGTATAATAATATGCAATATGTTATGTGAAACTATGACTTGCATGCATTGTTGTTACAATATTTACTGACAAATTTTTGTTTATTTTAGGATGTGATGGTATTCGGTAAGGGAAATCCACACAAAATAATAGCAGTGGATTGTGGGATTAAAAATAATATCATTAGATGTCTGGTAAAAGTAAGTGCTGGTATAAAGTTGGGTTATACTATTATCAAGAGGGGTGGTAACATGATAGGGGGGGTGAATGTAGTTGGTATGGTAAGAGATCTACCAAAGCATATACACTTCAGGAGAAGGTAATATTAACCTTTTCACTACCAAACTTTTTCGCTCAAATTTTTCTGCACTTTTTTCTTTTTATTCTTCAATATTTCTGGAAATGAACCCTAATTTTCGATCCAACAGACAAAATTTGAGCCAATTTACAGTTTTCACTCAAAAAATGTTGCTATTTTTGTCCTAATTCTCTGAAGAAACGTGCAGGCTATAAACTGGACTATTTTGAGAATTTGTGATGAAAAAAAATGAAACTGGTGGTAAAAACGTTAAGGAATTAAGCTCAACATAAATTTCGAAAAATTTGATGAACTGATGTTGTATCTATACTCTCACTAAAACTAAAATCGTTGTTTTGTCAAGAAAACAATTATTTCCCAGGTTTTTATTTAGTGTGTATATTAGAGCGAAATAAATAAAAATAAACACCTGCTAATAGTTAAGCCTAATACATGGTATTCAATGGTCTGTTTGCTTAGCTATCATTTGAGCAAAAAAGAATGAGGGTATTGAATCCTTGAATCTCATCCTGTCATAGGGAATATAAAACATGTTTTTTTCTCCATACACAAATGAACAGAATATTATACATCTTTTAAGCTGACCTGATGTTATCTTTCAGAGAGGAGCTGAAGTACATCTAGTGCCATGGAACTATAACTTTACCCAGGATGCCTATGATGGATTATTCATATCGAATGGACCAGGAGATCCAACGCTAGCCAAGGACACAATAAAGAATTTGAGAACAGTAAGACGCAGTTCAACAAAACTTGGTTTGCCAATTAATTGTTCAAGATGGCAACTTGTATAATTATTATTGTTGCATGTTTCATTGATAAGTATGCGTGTCACAGATTTTTTTTAGCGGACTTTTTGAAAAAATGGAAGAAAAATCAAATTTTCATGAAAAAATCGAAATAAAAGTACAGATTTTTTTAGCAGAATTTTTGGGAAAATGGAAGAAAAATTAAATTTTCATGAAAAAATCAAAATAAAAGTACAGTTTTAAAATAAAAATAAAAAACTGCATATGCATCGATCAAATTGATCATAATATTTTTTCTTGGTATATATTATTTATTAGCCGATTATTAAACAGATTAATCTGACTATACACCCTATAATATATGCTACCTTTTCTTGTAGGTTTTGAATAGTAGCCGAACAGAGCCTGTATTTGGAATCTGTATGGGTAATCAGCTGGTATCATTAGCAGCAGGAGCCAAGTGTTATAAACTACCCCTAGGCAATAGGTAGGGTGTGATTTTAAGTCATTTTAGAGACACTTTCAGACTGAAATCTCCTGTCACTGATGAAGTCGTTCTTAGAAATTGGTGACAACAAATTGTTTCCAGTAGTCCCCTTGTTACATTACAAAATACACCACAAACACTGATGGTTTCCTCTGTGGAATCTCCATTTTTAATCACATATTTACGCAAGTTTTACCAGAGAACGTACTATAAGGCTCAGAAAAAATTATTGTTTGTACGTTTGTATCAGGTAAAATTGCAGTTTTTCTGTCACAATTTTATTTTATTTTTGCAATTTTTAAATAAATTCAAAATAAAAGCTTCATTTTACTGACAATGAAACAAAAGTCATGTTATTAGATTTTTGAAAAAAGTGAATGTTTCCTGGACTTACCGTAAATGCACACGAGTTCTGCATTTTCTGATTACCACTAGAGGGCGATATTTACCATGTAGTGTGTTTCTCAGTAGTAGGAATGCCAGCTTGTCTAATAATGTTTTTAAGTCTGTCAAAAGTTTATGTCAAAAATATTTGTTTATTATATTTTACAGAGGTCATAATCAACCAGTGGTTAATCTTTTGAATGGCCAGGCTTTTATCACGTCTCAAAACCATGGCTTTGCTGTGGATGGAACCTCCCTTCCAGAAGGATACCAACCAATCTTTGTGAATGCTAATGATAAAACCAATGAGGTAAGGGTTCTACTTCAAATTAAAAAAATGCTCAGGGACTGTTACTGTAAAATCTGTATTAGAAGCTGCAGTTTCTATTAAAATGGTACAATGCAACAGAAGG